GGAGGAACGGCTTGCTCGGTCTGAACATGAGGAGGTGGCCAGTGGGGAGAAGGGCTGAGCTTATCTGCTTAGACTGCTTAGACCCTACGGTCCAACCAACAGAAAATAGACAGATGGATGGTGTGGCAATGATGACAGAATAAAATGGGTATTTAATAGTTTTGGTTTCTAAAGCTTAGAAAGGACAGCAGGTCAAATTATTTCTTAAATATTTATAATTTATGGTACTCCTTTTGCTCTGGTTTCTTGTTATTAGTGTGTTGCAAGCCTACTTGGGGTGGGCACATCTTTTCTTTAACACCACTGCAAACAAAATTAATGTAACGGCAGAAAGAAGATTCGCAAAGTTTCCTTTTAAGAATGTATTATAACCACTGAACTACTGTCCCCTTGTTCAGGCAAGAAAGACAAATATATTGTTAGAGTTACGGACACTTTGTAAAAGTGTTACAAATCAGGACTTTAGCAAATGTTAGCTTTATGAAAAAAGAAAGATAACAGTACCACTTGGTCCATGGGGTCATTGGAATAGTAGTTCTCGGCGTGGGTGCACCGAATCCAGGCAGGTTTCAGCAGGTCCTCCTCTTCTTTCTCGTCATCGCCCTTCTCCTTCACTTTTTCTCGCTCCCTGTCCCGTTCCCTCTCTCTCTCCCGCTCTCGGTCTCTGTCGCTGAAGGCTTCATCAGAGTCTCTGCTCCTTATGGCGGAGAAGCTGCGCTCTCTGCTCAGCCCCGAGGAGCTCTCTGACCTCCTGTCCCTCTCCTCCTCCCAGCGACCACGTTTCCTGTCTCTGCTTGTTGACCGGCTACATGTGAAAAGGAAAAGTCAACATGAGACACGAGGATAAATCTGAGTTGAGGTCTCATGTTCATTATATCAAAGAAAATATATTAATTAAAACGGCAAGAAATTAATAAGTTAAACTGTTTATATGATACTACTTTTCTTTGCTTGAAAAATGACCTCTGTCTAAATAGAGCCACTGCTCAAGAAACCACAGTTTTTTCTGCCACAGAGGTTTTTGACATGATTCATTACCAGTATGGTGCCTTCAGGTTTTGATCTTAGATATCATTACTTTGATTTAAAGTAGATATCCATGAATCTTTACTGAGGTCTGTCTCTTTTCCTCCTGCTTGACAGCTCCATCTTCAACATCCTTTGTCCAGTATATCCACTTTCCCTCCTCTGCACAAGTCCAAACCCTGTGAGCCTCCAAACCGCTCAACCCGAGCGGTCCCTCTGATACACTCATTTCTAATCCTGTCTATTCTGGTCACTCCCA